TTTACATTCTGGGAAACCATCAAATATTTTTCAACTAATTTATGGAAAAAGGATAAATGGAAAAGTTTTTTCTTTTTATGACATAGTCCAAAAAAAACTCACGTTTACATAGCAGCATAGACGGCATTGAACATTCCTTGAATTTTTATGTCACAACATCCTTTTAACTTGTTGTTGTTTATGCTGGTTTTCTTTTGTCCTGGTCATAAATGTCAGCCATTTTGGTTAGATGAAAGTGAGTGGGCGGTTTTTTATGCCACTTGAATGACCACTAATGATTTGTAAAATTTCTCTGGGTTTATACTTTCAAACCCGCAAGGAACATCGTCATATTTTCAGTTTTTGAAAGATGTTTTGGTGCTGAAAAATTTGTTATTAACATTTTATGATATACTAACGGGCCCGGCAAACGTTGTCTTGCATAGCATTATTGTTGATGTATAATTCACAAATATAATTCAAGATAGCCCAATATTAAGCTACACTCCACGATTTAAGATAGTGCTCTGAAATTTGCACATACATTATTACAACTCCTACGATATTTGGTATTGAAAATGGAATATGAGAAATTGTAAAGTTTTTTTCAAAAGAATTGGATGTAATTGAACAGAAAGTGTCCGTACCAAATATTATCAATATTGGCACATGTTTCGGGGTACCGCCTATATAATGGTAGCCCTAAACATTCGGTATTTTGGAGATCTTATGCACGGTTTTCAACGGCATTGCTTTTAATTTAATATAAGGGATAGTTCTTGAGTACAAAATCTCTCTACTTAAAATTATCAATATTGGCCCAAGTATATTTGGTATTTGGCTGTAATTTTATATTTTGGATGATCATCGAGTAGAAAATGTTCCTAACAAAATTTGGCCAAGCTTCCGAAAAGCCTCCATATAATAGCACTGCGCATTATACGATCCTTTGGGGTTGTTTCATAGCATGTTTCCTACTAAAATTGTCAATATCAGTTCACTCTTCTGTATTATGGGGGGTTTTGTCACGTGTTAGGACAAAATTGGCTGTAATTTTATATTTTAGATGATCAGTGAGTACAAAATCTACTTTCAAAAAATTATCAATATTGATCCAAGTTCCCGGGTAGCACCCATATAATGGTATCCCCCACATTTTCTTTGGGTTTTTAGTAACAATTTACATAAAATTGGAAGAAAAAATATGTAGGATCTATATCTAAATCTGAACGGATTTTCACGAAAGTTAGCGAAAGATATATATTGGCATTAGTCCACCATTTACAATAAATCGGAAGAAAATATATATGGGAGCTATATCTAAATCTGAACCGATTTTTAGGAAACTAAACACACATCTTTTTAGGCCTATTTCAGTACAATATGTCAAAACTCTTGCAAATCAAACGATATATAGGGACTTTTCTACACCATTTTCATTAAATCGGACGAATATACATATGGGAGCTATACATAAATCTGCACCTATTTTCAGGTATCTTCTAGGCTCAATTCAATACGATATGCCAAATTTCGTGAGAATCAAAGAATAAATAGCGACTTTGATGCTACATTTATATCAAATCGGACGAAAATATATAGGGTAACTATATATATAAATCTGAACCGATTTTCAGAAAACTTTACACACATCATTCTCGACTTAATTCATTACGCTATGCTAAATTTCATGCAAATCGAAAGATATATAGTAACTTTGGTACACCATTTACCTTAAATCGGACGAAAATATATGTGGGAGCTATATCTAAATCTGAACTGATTTTCACGAAACTTAGCGCAAATCATTCTAGGCTTAAATTAGTACGCCGTGCCAAATTTCGTGCAAATCGAAGGATATTTAGGGACTTTTGTGCACTGTTTACCTATAGCACACATCATTCTAGGCTCAAATTAGTGCGCTTTGCCAAATTTCGTGCAAATTGAAAGACATTTAAAATCTTTAGTGCACCGTTTACCCTAAATCGGACGAAAATATAAATGGGAGCTATATCCAAACCTGAACCGATTTTCACGAAACTTAGCACATATCATTCTAGGCTTAAGTGAGTACGCTGTGCCAAATTTCGTTCAAATCGAAAGATATTTAGAAACTTTGGTGCACAGTTTACTTTAAATCGGACGAAAATATAAATGGGAGATATATCTAAATCTGAACCGATTTTCACGAAACTTAGCACACATCGTTCTAGACTTATCTCAGTAAGCTGAGCCAAATTTCGTGGAAATCGAAAGATATTTAGAGACTTTGGTGCACCGTTTACCTTAAATCGGACGAAAATATATATTGGAGCTATATCAAAACCTGAACCGATTTTCACGAAACTTAGCACACATCATTCGTGCAAATCGAAAGATATTTAGAAACTTTGGAGCACCGTTTACCTTAAATCGGACGAAAATGTATATGGGAGCAATATCTAAATCTGAACCGATTTTTCCCAAATTCAACAGGGTTCGTCTTTGGTCCAAATTAATGACCCATGCCAAATTTCATCCAATTCGAATCATAAATGCGACCTGTACTTTGTTTACAATTTAACATGTACAGACAGACGGACGGACGGACATGCATAAATCGACCTAGAAAGTGATTTTATGCATATTCTATGTCTATCTCGTGTCCTTTTGCCTGTTACAAACATATGCACAAAGACATAATACCCTGTACCACAGTGTGGTGAAGGGTATAAAAACATCATTGTAGATGTAGTTCAATATCCCCCATATAATCAATGTCGTTCCGAATTATTCGATTGTAATATAGTGGGTGAAACACATGTGTGCGGAATGTGTTCGATAAAAGCTTATGTTTTAACAGATATCCTTTAGAAATTTCTGATAGTTTTCCATCTAAATGCGTCTTATTTCGAATTCTGGATTCTGGGAGGGTAACAAATATTTGGCAAAGAATTGCTGATGTAGCTCCATGTTTTGTGTTTTGGTTTAGACCCTTTTTATACCCTACATAACTATGTTGCCAGGGTATTACAGCTATGTGCAGCCCCAAGAGTTTGTAACGCCGCGAAATATTGGTCCTAGACCCACCTTTAAGTATACCGATCGTCATATCTCGACTAGTTGAGTCGATCTAGACATGTGTGTCCGTCCGTCCGTCTGTCCATTATAATGTGTAAACACGATACAGGCCACAGTTATGCACCAATCTTCACGACCCCCATTTGTTTTTGGTAAAGATCGGTTAATATATAGGGAATGAAATGGACCAACAACTTAATTTTTGTCGGTTTTTCTGGTCGCCCAAATATCGCGATTTTTTGCATGGAGAAGGGGATCGGGCCAAAGAATAAGCAAATGTTTTGATAAAGATCGGTCAATATTTAGCGGGTCAAATGGACCCTGACTTCTGTGTGAAAAATTACAAACTTTGTATTCTATAGCCTATATATTTACTCCTGAAGGACATAGACCCAAAAAGTTGATAGTATATCCAAGAGGAGTGGTTCACCTTTAAATTGATACCAATTATATGATCGTATGTACTCGGATGTGGGAGTTACACGTAAATATTTTCAGGAGTTTACGTATTCATATATTATTTAGAAAAATTGCCACAATAGAGGGGGGAAATATAGCGCTCATCGCTTTGAAATTTTCCTTGAGGATCCAGGTATGGTCAAGGACAACGCCTATAATTTCTGTGATGATCAGATTCAAATTTTGGGATGAAGTGGACCCAAAACTAATTTTTTTGTATTTTTTCGAGTCGATCTATAGGCTATAAAACCGAAAATCACAACACACGGTGAAGTGAATCTGGACAAGTAATTAGAAGGGCTGTACAGAATATTGGGATATTCGGAAAATATGTCAAAGAGGAAGAGTTGATCTCTAATCGGCCAAGAGGGTGCAAATATCACGAATTATTGACCAGGCTCGAAATAAACATACGCAAAAGTTAGAGTTATGTGGTAGTTGTGTAGGGTATCATATGGTCGGCCCCGTTCGACTATACTGCTCCGCTCACTGGTTTGCAAATATATTTGTTTTCTTTACACTTTGTTATGTGGAAGTTTCTAGTCCAGATTTCCAATCTAAGTGTATATTTTATCAGAGTATAAAGAATCTACTTGCGTAAAATTGCCAATAGAATAGTTCTCATGTAAAGTAATTTTGAATGCACACCATTATTCTAGAAATGATAAATGGCGGAATTATCTATCCACCATTTTAATGATATCATCATCCATAAACAATGATTGGCCATCAAAAACTTGTTAATGCCACAATAAATTACCCGCCAAGAGAAGAGGTAATTTTATGATTTCTACAAATTGCACAAATATTTCACTTTCCGTCCACAATCTTTTTTGCAAAGCCAAATTTCCAAGCAACCCCTTTACTTTAGTTAGAATTGAAAAATTCATATCATTCATCTACGTTCGCTCTCTTCTACATCAGTTACACTTCAGTGGACCCACTGCATCAATATTTCCTTTACTTAGATTATTTTTATGGTGCTTTTTCGGCTTGGTTAAGTGGCTTTTAGACATGAGTGGCTTTTCAATGGAATTCTCAACAAAACCATCCCCACCAACCTTATAATTATGAAAATCAAAGGCTATAACAACAACAACAGAAGCAGCAAAAGTAATAGTTACATGAAGAAGAATTCGAGTGGCATCAAACACCAAAAACATTGGGCGAACGGAAACGGAAACGAAATACTTTCATTCGTTAGCTGTTCAAGTGTACGATGGTGGCTACGGTTTGCCACCGTTTCGTTTAGGTGTAAAAGCGTATTGCTCCCCGGCCAACCCGACCAACCCGCAAAGCCCGAGTCGATAATGTTGGTGGTTTTGTCGGTTTTTGCTTTGGCACCCCAAAAAAAAGTGGTCAGCGGAAATAAATTGCTGCCATAGGAAATTGAGTTTTGGCATGATTTTGTTGCAGTTCTATGGTAATGGCAATCTGTTAGTCATGATGGGAATTGTGGTGTTTGTTGGTGGTGGTTGGAGAGAGAGAGGTGTGATAGGGTCATGGGTAAGACATACCAAAGAAAAGAATGATGTGCCAATTTTTAAGGTATTATATTAAATTATTCGTAGTTGTGGCGAAGAAATTTATATTTAATGGTTCCAACAACTATTTCTTTGACCAACAACTATTTCTTTGATTTGATTATTAATACTTTTTTGAAATGCTCTCTCTTTCTTTCTTGCAGCCATGAAAATGTTGATCAACAACGAAACGTCAGTCTCATCCCTCCATGATATTAACAATATGATTCTCGGTAGTTACGATCAGCAAGAACCAGAATTTGAAAACACAACAAATCGTGATGTAATTGGTGCCGTCGGAACAACAGCTCGTTTGCATTGTCGTGTCCGAAATTTGGGAGATCGTGCTGTATCATGGATACGAAAACGTGACTTACACATACTGACAATAGGCATCATGACATATACAAATGATCAACGATTTCTGGCGCGACACATAGACAACTCCGACGAATGGGTGTTGAAAATTGTCTCAGTGCAACCGCGTGATGCGGGCATCTATGAGTGTCAAGTATCGACAGAACCCAAAATTAGTCAAGCCTATAAATTAACAGTTGTCAGTAAGTATTATTTATTTCATTTTATTGTATTAATCATTATCTTTAATGCTATGATGAACGTTCACACATAATAATCTTGTCAAAAAAGTCGAACACATTTCCGATTTCAATATCTGTATTAGTGAACCAGTAAGGAAAGTAGTAAAGTCGGACTGGGCCTACTATATGATACCCTTCACCACTTTGGGTATATTGTACATATGTATCCTTAAAATTACATGGCAATGTTCCCTCGAAGGAACATATTCCAGTCTTTCTGCAACCTATGATAAATTTATTTTATTCGGCCAGATTTAGTATCGTATGCGTACCATGGGACAAATTTATGGAAAACAATTTATAGCAAAATTGATGTTAAAAATTTAATTTTAATCACAATTCGAAACACATATGGAAGCTGCACCAATTTCAATAAAACGCAATAAACATTGGGAGTTTGGTCCACCGTTTATGTAAAATCGGACGAATATATACGGATATGTGGGAGCTAAATCGAAATCTGAATCGATTTTTCCGAATCTTAGCACACATCATTCTAGACTCAATTCAGTGCGATATGCCAAATTTTGTGCAAATCGAAGGATATATAGGGTCTTTGCTGCACCTTTACATAAAATCGGACAAAACTATATATGGCAGCTATATCTAAAACTGTACCGATTTTCACGAAACTTAGCACACATCATTCTAGACCTAATTCATTACGCTGTGCCAAATTTCGATAGGGTTCGTCCTTGGGCCAAATAAGTGACTTGTGCCAAATTTCATCCAATTCGGATAATAAATGCGACCTGCACTTTGTTTACTATTTAACATGGACAGACGGACGGATGGACAGACAGACGGACATGCATAAATCGACTCAGAAAGAGATTCTATGAATATTCTCAAAGGGATCCATGGGTCTATCTATATTATTTTTCCCTTTTACAAACATGTGCACAAAGACATAATACCCTGTACCACAGTGTGGTGAAGGGTATAAAAAGGCACTATGACAAATTTCGTGCGCATCGAAAGATATGTAGGGACTTTGATGCACCATTTACATTAAATCAGACGAAAATATATATGGTAGCTATATCCAAATCTGGACCAATTTTCCCAATTTCAATAGGGTTCGTCTTTGGGCCAAATAAGTGACCTAAGCTTATTTTCATTCAATTCGGATCATAAATGCGACCTGTACTTTGTTTAAAATTTACCATGGACAGACAGACGGACGGTCATGCATAAATCGACTTAAGGGAACCCCCCCATTCTCGATTTTTTATTTTTAAGATTTTAAATGGGCTGGTAAATTAATACCAATGCTTGTTAAGGTTTGTAACTTTGCACATATATATTTGAAGATTTCCTCTTGCAGTGTGGTGAAAGGTATAAAAATAAGGGCCCTATCTTTATAATTTTTACCGGAAAGATTTGATACCCAATAAAGTTGACTTATATTTATAATTTTTTGTAGAGAGATTTTCTACCTCATAGGAACCCAATGTACTAATTACAGCCGGTTCAAAAACTCGCACAGGAACCACAAAATACCGAAAATTCGGGGCAACCTTATATGGGGGCTATGACTAAACGTTGACCGTAGACCTTGAAATTTTATCGGTCCGGAGACAAAAGGCAACTCTATGATACATTTCAGCGCCCTATCTAAATTCCTTCAAACGATAGCGTAATATTCAATATCGTCATAGAAACTTACGCTGATCAAGAATATAGTGATTATTGCGATGAGTTACAAACGGAATGACAAAATCAAATGCCCTCCATTCTATGACAGAGAATATAAAAAGACGAGAGCTGGACCCGTGGCACTTCGCTGCCCCTTCCAAAGGCCAAAAAAGGAAATCCATAATATGGTAATTTTTACTATGAAATGTGTAACTGACATAGAATTTTTAAACGTATAGCATTATTGCTGTGAGAAAAAACCGTAACTCAAGTGGCAGTGCATTCCAACATCGCGCAAATATTCAAAATTCGAGGTATCAAAATATTGAGGTTTCTGGAGGAGTGTGTGAAAGGAAATAACATCCTTAAGTGTCCACGGTAATATATATACTGAATAATTTTTTTCAAAAGAACACCCAAGAAAGCGAGTAACATATTCCGACACGTGATTGTCACTACGTAGATTATAAATAAAGCCTGTAATGGTATTAATAATTCGCTTTAGCTTATTAACATGCAAATCAATGTATCCCGAATACACTCCAAGTCCATATAAGGGCAGCGACATTAACAGAGCATTTGCCAATATTAACTTTACACGTTGCGTTAAATATAAATTTGTTGCAAA